ATCTCTACCGAGGTGGTGATCCGCCGCGTTTAGGGTCCCCAGGCTTAGAGAGTGACTTCCTGTTGGGAGGGAGACTTCCTAATTGGGCTGTATTCTTTTTCAATACTGAGTGAGATGCCAAGGGAAGGTGGTTGTAATACAGGTAAAGGGTCTCGTGTGCAACCCGAGATCGGAAGCCGTAGGATGTTGGTAAAGCATCTTGAAGGGCGGCTGATGCTGGGCCTGTAAACACATAGCTAAGGCTCCCAACTCCTTTAGGTCCGGATCCGAGAACTCTTTCTGTATTATACAGATGGTCGGGAAAGAAAACATTTTAATCCTGTATGTGACTTTAAAATGAACATTCATTTTAACATGAGTATTAAAAGCCCGTTTCATTTACACTTTGACAAGGTTTGTATTTATTGTACTTGAAAGGTTGAGAAGTGACTGCGTACGGAAAGCTGTTGTTCATAGGAATAACAGCAGGGACTGTGAGGAAGTAATAACCCCACACTGTCCCCTTTGGGTGTAGGTGGAATCCGAGGCTAGCGAGTGAAGATATGGGAGGAATGGGCCTTCGGCTCTGCTGCAGAGATGGGCATTTATCTTGCTGTGAGAGCTGCCTCTCTTGAAAAACATTTTTGAATTGTGGCTGTTGTTATATACGGTGGTGGCTCTTTTGCAGGAAGACCAGGGAATTTATCAGAGCAAAGTTCGGGAGCTGATCAGTGACAACCAATACCGGCTGATTGTTAACGTGAATGATCTGCGCAGAAAAAATGAGAAGAGGGCTAATCGGTGAGTGGCAAGGGTTTCCAAGGGGATAGATATCCTGGCTCTGGGTGAGAATGGCTCCCTTCTCTCTTCCCCCCATTGGAACTGGCTTCCCAAGAGAGGACCTGGGTGAAATACTTTTTTACCTTGAAGCCCTCTTTGCCTCACCTGCTCCTATGTTGTTGTTTTTTTAAATCCTCACCGGAGGGACATGCTTATTGATTTTTAGAGGGAGGGGGAAGAAGAGAGAAACATCGATCAGTTGCCTTCCCATACACACCCCGACCAGGAATCAAAACTGCAACTTAGGTATGTGCACTGACCTGGAATCGAACCCACAACCTCTTGGTGTACGCTCCAGCCAACTGAGCCACACCGGCCAGGGCCCTGCTCCTATCCTCTTCTCTTCTAAAAATAGGTGGTAGGCATTTTCCTCTTAAGAGCTCCCCCTTCCATGTTTAGTTGAGTATCCTGAGTCTTGTAGGATGGGAGGAGAAAGTAGAAGCCAGATTTTCCTCCTTGGCCTTCATCGTTTTAGAATGTCCACTTCTGTTTTGAGGGTCAGCTTTTTTGAGTTCTGCTCTCTGCCTAATTATTCTTTCTCTTGTCCGTATGCAGCCTCCTGAACAATGCCTTTGAGGAGCTGGTTGCCTTCCAGCGGGCCTTAAAGGATTTTATAGCCTCCATTGATGCTACCTACGCCAAGCAGTATGAGGAGTTCTACATAGGATTGGAGGGCAGCTTTGGCTCCAAGCATGTCTCCCCCCGGACTCTCACCTCCGTCTTCCTCAGCTGTGTCGTCTGTGTGGAGGGCATTGTCACCAAGTGTGAGTGTGTTAAAGTAAAGGTCTGAGGGAATGGAGGTGGACTGACAGGGCCTGGGAAAGCAGGAGAGGTGGAGTAGAGCTGGGTAGCTTGTGGTATCAGAAAGGTGGAGCATTTAAGTTACCAGGTGAAAGTTGGAGGAGCTCCGAGTGATTAGGAGGACCTTGAGTGGCCACCTGTGCTCGCAGGATGCTGAATTCTGCTGAGAGGGGAGGAGTCTTGGCTCTTGGCAGTCTCCTCTTTCTAACCCTGAACTCCTGCTACCTCATTTGGGATCGGTTGTACTTAAAGTTTTACATGGGTATGGTGTTGTTCTATATAGAAATGTAAAGATGAATACATGACATGTGTTACTGAAACAGCTTAAACTAGTTGGGACATTAGTATTTGGAGTCATCATAGGCTTGCCTGGGTTAGGTCCCACCTTTATGACTGTCTAGTTCAGTGATGGCGAACCTTTTGAGCTCAGCATGTCAGCATTTTGAAAAACCCTAACTTAACTCTGGTGCCGTGTCACATATAAAAATTTTTTGATATTTGCAACCATAGTAAAACAAAGACTTATATTTTTGATATTTATTTTATATATTTAAATGCCATTTAACAAAGAAAAATCAACCAAAAAAATGAGTTCGCGTGTCACCTCTGACATGCGTGTCATAGGTTCGCCATCACTGGTCTAGTTGGATGACTTCATATGCATGTTTTCCATTCCTAGGCTCTCTAGTTCGTCCCAAAGTTGTCCGCAGTGTCCACTACTGTCCTGCTACAAAGAAGACCATAGAGCGACATTACTCTGATCTCACCACCCTGGTGGCCTTTCCTTCCAGCTCTGTCTACCCCACCAAGGTGAGGGGAATGAATTGATTGAACCTCTTTGGAGGTTGTAGTCAAAAATGTCTTTTAATGCAAGTAATTGGGTAACATCTGAAGTCTTCTAAAAGAAAATAGGGTGAAAGTTGGAACTGAGGATTAATCTAAAGGAAAGATTGATTGTTAGCCAGAACTTAATATGGAAAGTTCACAAATTTTTTTTATAAGAATAAATATTCACTGTAGAAAATTATGAAAGGGTTGAAAGAAGGATATAATTTTATAGACTAATATGGAAAATACCTACGCTACAACGTTACTATGTGCTCTTTGCGGGCATTTTGCTACAGGCTTGAGAGAAGCTTGGCCTAAGCAATGACTTTATTCTTAGTGTGCAGGTTGATCTGAATTGAGAATGACGTGAAGCTTTACTTAATGAGACAAAAGAAGATTATTACTATTGATTACTTGATGTTTGAACTCATTCTATCCAAGAAGAGCTGTCCCCACCATTAATTTTAATTGAGAGCTACTGTATCCAAAGAATTGTTAGGCACTGTGGAGGACACACGTATAAATAAGACCCAGTTCTTGTCTTCAATATTATTAACTGGTAGAGGAATCTTAGCATTCCTCTTACTATATAAACAACTAAAACAACAATGAGTATCTTAGAATTATTACTGCAACTTGCTTTAGAGTCATTTAGTCTATCTCCAGATGATATATTGAAGTCTGGAGAGGTTAAGTGACTTGCTTATGTCTTAGTGATGATTCTAATGATGGGACCCATGTCTTTTTACTTTTAGGCCACTTGTATTGTCTAAGTAATCCTGCTCTCTAGAATCCCCCTTTCTAGACTTTCTTCTGCAGGAATTATTCAAGGAGTACTCTCCTACCAATTACTGTGGCCAAGCTTCTTTGCTTGAGCTGTGAAATACACCAGACCAGGCCTTTGGAGGTGTGTCTACTGTAGTGCTTAGAGCTTGGATTTTGGAGTTATGTCTGCCTTGAGTCCTGGCTCCAGTACTTATGGTGTGATCTTAGGGAACGTATTTAACTGCTCCCAGCCTCAGTTTTTATAATCTGTTATAAAATACCTGCTTTACTGAGTTGTGATGATTACATGAGATAATTCCATGAAATAATAGCACAGTGTTTTGCACATAGTAAACATTTAGTAAGTGTTGTGGGTTTTTTTGAAAACTCAAATGGCAAGTAAGTAAAACTTTAAAAATGTCTTTACTAAAGTTTAATACACACACAGCAGCATACAACTTGATGAATACCTATAAAATCAGCATCCAGAACAGGAAACAACCTTACCAGCAATCAAAAGTCCCTCTTGAGGGCCCACACTGCCCTGTTAGTCTATCCTCATGTCCTGCAGTATAAATTATTTTTGCTTATTTTTATATTTTATCTAAATAAATACTCTTGTGTTGGCTTCCGTTTGTGAGATTTATCCTTGTGTGTAGGTATATTTCATTGTATAGTTGACTTGTGTGAGTATACCACATTTATTTAATCATTCTGTTGCTGACATTTGGATATTGTCTAACTTGGTCATTAGAAATAGTGCTGCTGTTAACTTTGTAGAACAAGGCTTTTGTTGGGTATTACATAGGAGTGGAAATATTGCATCATGGTGAAAGTATATATTCAGCTTTAGTAGGGGAAGGATCTTAATTTAGATGTTATATAGCTGTGGTCCATTCAGACTAGAGATTGCCTCTTTCATCTAGATGGTTTGTTATTAGATAAGGTTGGAAAAGCTGGAGAAGATATTTGGCTTTTTTGCTTCTGGATGTTAAAATCATGAAGTCATCAAATTATACTTGTTTCCCACCACAAATTAGTGTGGTATTTCTAAGACAGAGCTGAGATAACTGTGCTTTTCTGTGTGCCTTTTCCAGGATGAGGAGAACAATCCCCTTGAGACAGAATATGGCCTTTCTGTCTACAAGGACCACCAAACCATCACTATCCAGGAAATGCCAGAGAAGGCCCCAGCTGGCCAGCTTCCTCGCTCTGTGGATGTCATTCTGGATAATGACCTGGTGGATAAAGTGAAGCCTGGTGACAGAATCCAGGTGGTGGGGACCTACCGTTGCCTTCCCGGAAAGAAGGGAGGCTACACCTCTGGGACCTTCAGGTAAAGGGTCAGTCATGAAGTGTTTGGAATGCTGCTGGCAGCTTCCATATTTGGTAGTATTCTTTCTCCAGTTTGCCATGTTCCAGAGAGTTATAACAGGTGGAGTGCACTATCTGCCCGGGAGATGGGATACCTGTTTTCTATAATATAAAACTGGTAATACTCTCTTATGTTAAAAGTGGGAGGTACTGGTAATATGATTATAGCCTCATGGCTTACCTGGGAGTATCTCACATTTTCCCACCTCACCTCCTTCCTATATATACTTCTACTTGAAACTCTGTGGGTTAGCAGGAGATGCATTCCTGAGCTGAGGCATTGCCAGATGTTTAGGTCATAGATGAAGAGAGAATCAATTATTTAATTCAGAACAGCTTTCTTTTTTAAAAAAAATTTGATATTCTAGATTATTAATTTAAAAAGGCTCTGATGTTAGGAATTGAAAATAGCAGGCTTTCTCTTAATTCTCTTCTTTGTCCTAGGACCGTTCTGATCGCCTGCAATGTGAAGCAAATGAGCAAGGACATTCAGCCTTCATTCTCTGCGGAGGATATAGCCAAGATCAAGAAGTTCAGCAAAACCCGCTCCAAGGTCTGGGTGTCCTTCGGGGCGTGGAGGGTGCGGATGGAATTGTACGGGTTGTGTTTGGGCATGGCCATCTTTGTACTGGACCAGGAGGAAGGTCGAGGTTTTTCCTCTGAAGTATTTGGTGCTAGCTTCTAGTTTTGACCCAATCAGTGAGCAACAGGGTGTTTTTGCTGTTTGTTCTTTAATATTTCTGTTGTGCTACCTGCTGGGCTGCTAAGTGAACCTAATATAAATAAAGAATAGGATTTAGAATATCAGTGTGCCAATGAGTCTTTACTGAAGACATTAGTGATACATTGCTACTTAAATTTATAATAGTGGTTTTATTTGTTTTAGTTCTCAGAAACATTTTTCTTTTTAAAGAAAATGTTAACATTTAGAATTGAACAAAATATAATGCATGTGTGACATAGGTTACTGCTGAAGCACAATACATATTTTTATTGAACCTAAAATGTTTTGAAACTGGAAACACTTCTTCTGGCTTAAAAATTATGATCATTTATGATTAGTATGAATGGAGAGTATAAAGATAAGCAGATTTCAGTTTTGATGAGGGATCACTTTTTTTCTTAAAGATTAAACTAAGCAAGTTTTGGAATCTAGGCTTCCTCTGTAACTGCTTTGAAAATGATCTGATCAATGAGATTTGTCTTAGAGAGGAAGATTTTACTATCAGAAACAGTATTTGTATTTGTGTTTGTGTATATCTTCAAGCATTTTGAATAGGCTGCATTGTAAAGTGGAGCTCAGCACAATCCCATGGAATCTCATTAGACTTTCACACCCTGTAGGATATCTTTGACCAGCTGGCCAAGTCCTTGGCCCCCAGTATCCATGGGCATGACTATGTCAAGAAGGCAATCCTCTGCCTGCTCTTGGGAGGGGTAGAGCGTGACCTGGAAAACGGCAGCCACATCCGTGGGGACATCAATATTCTTCTTATAGGTATGGTGCTGGGATTTGCTCTCGACTCCTGGTCTTCCCTAGTGGAGTGTGGTTGAGGACTCTATAACCTGTACCCGGCTGCATTTTAGTCCTGTAAAAGGTCTCCTGGTTTATATATCTAAAATATATTTTTCTGCAAATGATAAACAGAAAGTGAAGGAAATCCTGTTAATAAATTACTATATATTTGTTATGTCAAGAGCTGTTCTAAAAACTCAGAAGTTGGGAATGTGGAAACTTTCTTAGAGAGTCACCACTGCCCCTATCCAATTACAGGAGACCCATCGGTTGCCAAGTCTCAGCTGCTGCGGTATGTGCTTTGCACTGCACCCCGGGCTATCCCTACCACTGGTCGGGGCTCCTCTGGAGTGGGTCTGACGGCTGCTGTCACCACAGACCAGGAAACAGGTAAGAGAGGGTGTAAGGTCCTTGGCAGATGTCTAGCAGTGAGACCAAGCATGTAGAGAACTGAGTGTCGGGCAACAGTGGGTGAGTTATTTAAGTTTGGGTGACCCTCTATTGACAAGAATGTCTCCTAGAAGGCTATTTAAAAGAGTTTTTGAGGAGAAAGCAAATTGGAAGGGAAATGAAAACGAAGATTGTACTGTTTCCTAAATTAGAGGAAGGAGTTTGAAGACTAGTGAAAAGAGAACAGATCTACTTGGGAAATTACTTGAGGATGAGGATGAAGAGAGAAGAATCTATAAAGGAAGTTGGTTGGAGTCTTGCTGCTTAGGGGTCAAAGTGGGGCAAGGAATTACCCACCAGGGATTCCTTAAGTCTCTAGTTGCTGACGTCACTATATTCTCATGTGGGACAGTAAGAGGGTCCCAGGAGGGGGTTGAAATGTCTCCCTCTGTCCCCTACAACCTGGATTATAGCATGTATATTTGTCTCCCTACTTCCCAGGGGAACGTCGTCTGGAAGCAGGGGCTATGGTCCTGGCTGACCGTGGTGTGGTTTGCATTGATGAATTTGACAAGATGTCTGATATGGACCGCACGGCCATCCACGAAGTGATGGAGCAGGGTCGAGTCACTATCGCCAAGGCTGGCATCCATGCTCGACTGAACGCCCGCTGTAGTGTTTTGGCAGCAGCCAACCCCGTCTATGGCAGGGTCAGTGGAATCAGGCACTTAACCATTGTCCTCACCTTCATTTAGTTTTGCTTGATAACTGGACTGAGAAGTTTAGTTTAGGTAACCCAGGGAAACAACAGGCCAAAGACCAAAGTAAGCTTATTATCTTTAGGCCCTCTTGTTGCTGTCCTTGGTTTAGGGCAGTGATGGCGAACCTTTCGAGCTCAGCGTGTCAGCATTTTGAAAAACCCTAACTTAACTCTGGTGCCGTGTCACATATAGAAATTTTTTGATATTTGCAACCATAGTAAAACAAAGATTTATATTTTTGATATTTATTTTATATATTTAAATGCCATTTAACAAAGAAAAATCAACCAAAAAAATGAGTTCGCGTGTCACCTCTGACATGTGTGTCATAAGTTCGCCATCACTGGTTTAGGGCCATGGTTCCTCACCCACTCGTACACATCAGAATCCCCTGGAAAGTTACTTATTTAAAGCAACTTTTCAGAAATACAAAGACGAAAACAAAAATGACCTGCAGTCTCACCTCCCAGGTAACCTGTACTGACATTAAAATGAACGTACTATGTACATGTGATGTGGTAGGAGGATTTATATACAGAACAGAGAGGTACAATATGGAAATTCTATTTCTTTCCCAAGAGATAGCCACTAACAGCTCCCGAATGTTTTCAGGAAACAAAAATTAAGCATGTACCAACAATGCACTATCTCCATGTTAAAGATTAATCTATCTTTAGGTTTTAGATGTAATCTTATATTTATTCTGCTTGAGGTTTGCTGAGCTTGCCTTTTTTTTTTTTTAAAATAGTCTAGCATTTCATTGTATGGATTAACAGTAAATATTTTTAACTTGTCTCTATTTGATGGGCATTTGCTACTATCCCTTTGTGAATGAAGCTGCAACAAAATCCCTTCATGTGCGTTTTGTTATACATTTGGGAGTATGCTTGTACGATAAATACCTAGTAATGGAATTACTAGATTGAGTTAAATGCATTATTTTGGTAGAGATTGCCAAATTGCCCTCCATAAAGATTGTGTCATAATAATACTGTTAACTAATACTTATAAATGCTTTATATTTATCAACTCCTTTCATCCTCACAATAACTCCTGTGAGGTGTAGGTAGTGTCCTTATTTTACAGATGAGAGAATGGAGGCATAAGAGTTTAAGTAACTTGCTCAAGAGTCACAAACTAGAAAATGGCAAAGCCGGGATTTGAACTAGAGCCTGTGCTGTGCTCTGGCAATTTATCTCACAGTGTGTGGGAATACCTGTTTTGGTGGTGTTTAAATATACAGGTGCCTGATTCCTAGCCTAGAGTTTCTGAATCCAAATCTCTCTGAGTTAGGGCTTTTGGTAACTATGGTTTGGAAAGGTTCCGCAGGTTGGTTCTAATTCATAGTGTGCATTGAAACCATAGGTTTTTAGATGAATGCTAATGTATGTTTACATTATTCTGAAGAATTGAATTATAGGGAAATATAGGGGAAAATGGCAAGTCCTGAAATGTGAACATGGTCATCAGAATGATTATTAATCTTACTCCCAAGATTGTTAGGCCCTCTGAAGTGTATGTGGGAGGGCCGGCATTAGCCTAGTGCAGTGATGGCGAACCTTTTGAGCTCGGCGTGTCAGCATTTTGAAAAACCCTAACTTAACTCTGGTGCCGTGTCACATATAGAAATTTTTTGATATTTGCAACCATAGTAAAACAAAGACTTATATTTTTGATATTTATTTTATATATTTAAATGCCATTTAACAAAGAAAAATCAACCAAAAAAATGAGTTCGCGTGTCACCTCTGACACGCGTGTCATAGGTTCACCATCACTGGGCCCTAGTGGGTCCTGAATTGAAAGATAAGAATACAGGGAGTCTTGACTCCCAGGGGAAAACTCCTATGATTCTTACTTCTTCTTCTTTTTTTTTTTATTGATTTCAGAGAGGGAGAGAAAGCTAGAAACATCAATGATGAGAGAGAATCATTGATTAGCTGCCTCCTGCACGCCCCACCTTGGGGCTGGAGCTTTGCAACCCAGGAATGTGCCCTGACCTGGAATCAAACCGTGACCTCCTGGTTCATAGGTCGACGCTCAAACACTGAGCCATGCCAGCTAGGCTCCTATGATTCTTAAAACATAATTTAGATTATTGATAATTTTCATTTTACTCATTACTTTCTGAGTAAGGGACTCTAAAGTTTCTAAGTTTCTCTGGTTTAGCCAGCTTGTCTTCAGGGTTGGTCCTGCCTTGGGAACGAGAGGAGCAGAATACAGCTTGGGGAGGAGGAGGCTGGTTTGAGATCCAGACACAGCCTGATGGAGGCACCTACTCTAGGAGGTGGGGCTCTGTTTGCTGGGAAGGAAGGAGGTGGGGCCTGGAGTCACTCAGGTCAGCTGAGCTTCAGTTAGAGAAGGGTTGTGGGTAGAGGTGAATTACTATTTTAATAGTGTTAAAATTTTCTACTTCACTGCTTCTGTTTTTTTTCTCTAAGGCCTAGTCTTGCATTCTCACTCCCAGAATCAATCCAGCCTCCTTGTCCTTTCTATTGATTATTGCCTCCACTTTCCTTTTCTCTTGTGTTCCCAGTATGATCAGTACAAGACCCCTATGGAGAACATTGGGCTGCAGGACTCACTGCTATCCCGATTTGACTTACTCTTCATCATGCTGGACCAGATGGACCCTGAGCAGGATCGGGAGATCTCTGACCATGTCCTTAGGATGCACCGTTATAGGACACCAGGGGAGCAGGATGGAGATGGTGAGACCACGAGAAGAGTAAGGGAGAGAAGGGAGCCTAAACTGATCTCCTTATCTGATGCCCAATCCAGGTGGTGGGGTGTGTCTGGGTTGATGTCGAAGATGCCATTCCTGGCCTGGCCACCTCCTTTTACTGCTCACTGGAGGTTATCCTGAGGTGTGTCTTTTGTCCATTTCTGGGCCTGGGAACACCTTTGAGCATCTTCTGTGGGCCAGGTGGTTCCACCTTCCTTACTTTTGGCCTCGGCATGTCTGTTTCCTTGGGGGTCCTTGCTTTGTGAGTCTTTCTCTTCCTTCCTGTGCAGTTCCCCTGGTTAAGCTCTTTCTTACTCTCTTTTCTCTCCCCTTGGGTTTTCTAGCTATGCCTTTGGGTAGTGCCGTGGAAATGTTGGCCACAGATGATCCCAACTTTAGCCAAGACGACCAGCAGGATACCCAGATTTATGAGAAGCATGACAACCTTCTGCACGGGCATAGGAAGAAAAAGTGAGCATTTCTCAGACCTGTCCCTTGAGGGAAACTGAGATTTGTGTCATATTAGAACGTGTATATCTAATATTGTATCATATTAGGGCGTGTGTATATATTTATGCTGTCCAGGCTAAGATTATGCTGAATCATAACCATGTGGACCTGTTTTCTTCTGGTTCCACAGAGACTCCCCTTTTCCTGGCCAGTTGCCTTATAAATGTTTGTGGGTGATTAAGCTTAGGTTCTGATCTTTTCCTAAAATAGAAGATTGATGACATGCCTAACTGATTGTGGGTGTGATGTCATCTTGTGAAGGATTGCGCGTCATGTAGCTATTTATATTGAGTTCATGGTAAAGGGTCAGGAGATGGCAAGCCCTGGAGGCTTTGCAAGTCGATTTGAATAAAGGAAACTTGCGACCAGATGCTCAAAGCATGAAATGTGAGCTCTTACTCTTCTATTTTTGGCCACAGTGCAGTAGGAAACATAACATCATCTTCAAACCTGTTGGTTTAAGAACATAAAGTTTCAAGTCAGAAAACCGATTTGAGTCTACTAAGCTTCTCTGCGCCATACTTTTCCCATGTATGAAATAGGGCAAATAATACATAAACTTCTTAACTCACAATAAATACCTAAGTGATACCTGTAGAATTAAAGAAAAATATGTGAAAGGGCCTTGGACATGCTCCATATGAGATTTATGATAATGGGTTCTAGGCTGTGTCTGCTTTGCCACTTGATCTTGTCTTCTCTGAGGAGAGGCAGAGCCACCGTCTCAGGCAGGTGCTGAGGTGTGGCAGGGCGGGGAGTTCACTGTGTGTGGGTCTAGGGAGAAGATGGTGAGTGCGGCTTTCATGAAGAAGTACATCCACGTGGCCAAAATCATCAAGCCCATCCTAACGCATGAGTCGGCCACCTACATCGCAGAGGAGTACTCACGCCTGCGCAGCCAGGACAGCATGAGCTCCGACACCGCCAGGGTGAGTCCCCGAGGACAAGAGGGCCCTGGGAGTCCCTTAAGCATGTGGCTGGGAAGAGTCCTTACTATCTGGGGCTCTGAAGCCATTTTAACGTAGTGATTCTTTACCTTTTCCTTCTGGTCTTGACACAATGGTAATCATTTCCTTTTACAAAGGAAAATGAAATAAGAACCCCCGAGATAATATGTATCTGATCAGTTCAGATGATGTTGGCCTCCAGAATCTGTGGTCTATTTAGCAAACATGAGCCACTTCTGGGAACTGAATGAGTCTATTCTTATAGGCAGTGTTAAAATAAGAGCTCAGATCTGGGCTGGGGAGGCAGAAAGACAGGTAGAAAGATCATGCATACATATTTATAAATATATACCACAATGTGGTACTTGAAGATGACTGCATGTGAGATTGCTGGAGACAGATGAAGAAGCATCAACTTTTCCCTTAGACATTCCAGAAGGTTATGAATATCAGGAAAGGATTCCCAGAGTGTGATATTTGAGCTGTACTTTGACAGATGACTTGCAGTTGGACAACTGTGATGATTTTCCAAAGCTATTTCTAGAAACCTTACATACCAGCCCATGAGTTTATCTAAATCTTTTGGGGCAGTTTAGTTCATACAGGATTTTACCAAGAAACCCAAGTCCAAAACCCTCATCCTGCAATACAGACATAGACTCTTGGATTCTATGTGATCCCAGATCATCTACTTCAGCCTCACCCAGGACAGGAATTGTGTTTCCTAGAATTCCTTCTGGAACTTCATTGACACCCCAGGGAGAACATGCCTAGTATATCACTGCATTGAAATGTTACGATAGTCTTCTACTTATCGAGCTTAAACCTGCTTCACTGTGATGCCTACCCATGGGTCTCAGTGTTGTTTTCTGGAGATTTTGTATGACTTGTCTTCTTCAATTAAACAACTCCCTTTCTTTTTAAGTTTCTCACATATGAATACACTCCAGTGTGTCAAAGGCCTCTCACTGCACATAATATACCAACCAGGGCTATAATGGAGCACATAAACTCCAAACTCTGGTAGCTTTCTAAATCATTAAAAGTTTTAGTTAACTTATATAAATATAAATACATTTGTTTTTGAATGTCAGATTGGGTTTAAATGATAATTTTAAAGACTTGAAAGTAGAAGTGACCACATACTTCACTGGTGCATCATACAGCGGGAGGTGTGGTAGTACAGCCCTTCGTCCTGGCCCGAGGTTTCCAGCTAATTTTTGGATCTTTCACCTCTCTGCTCACAGTTTCGTTATTCATAAAATAATGAGAAAGTTGGATAAAGTCAGGGATGCTTAACGAGGAGGGCACATCAGAAGCACCTGGAACTTAAAAAAAGTACAGGTGTCTAGTCCTGTGTGCTAAGGAACACAGACATTCTGGTTCCTTAGGCCAGGGGCCCTGTTCAGACAATAACAGTTAAAAAAGGTGAAGGCACCCCAGTTTTGCATGCACCCTCCTCTCCTTTGAGAACTGTTTGATAACTTGTCAGAGTTCTGCTCCTCTGGACTTAGTGAGTTCATCCAACTTTTAAAAATGTGTCCTCTTTCACGCCCCTCATTAGCGTGGCCTTGGACAAGTTATTTGAGTCCCATTTTTGTCATCTATAAAACTTTTTTAGTAATGAAGAGCGTTAATGACACAAGGAATGCAAAAACAAAGTTATTGATGCATTAGGCCTGCAGTAAGGGACTCTTCCTTCACTTTGGTACTCCTTCTAGGCTTTTCTTTTCTTTTTTTTTACTTTTCCAGCTGCAAGATGCCTAATTTTCTTCTTTCCTGTTCACCTACTCCTCCCTCCCTCAGCTCTCTCTCACACATATTTCCATGATAATTTTCATCTTTCTGAATTTCATATGGTATTTGTAGAGAATACAGAGCTCTGAATCCTTTGCTTGGACCTCTTAGAGCTTTTCTGGTAGTGTCATTATTTCCTTATCGGTGCGGTGGGAATGATGGGCATGCCTAAATAATATGTGTAATTCTGGACAAGGAATTCTCGTTTTCTCCCCCAGACCTCCCCAGTTACAGCCCGGACCCTGGAAACCCTGATTCGGTTGGCCACGGCCCATGCCAAGGCCCGCATGAGCAAGACTGTGGACCTGCAGGATGCAGAGGAAGCTGTGGAGTTGGTCCAGTACGCTTACTTCAAAAAGGTGAGGATTCAGGTGCTTGGCTGAGAGATCCTTCTGAAGAAGCCATTGGTGCTTGGCTTCTCAGCCTCCCCTGGCCGTCAGCTGTGTTTGGGTCATCAGCAGAAAGTAGCATCTATCTGCCAGTGTTCAGTTGGCCTCATTCCTTTCTCTGGGACCTGCAGCACCAGTGGTTCCCAATCTACCTGCATGTGAGAAGCAGCTAGAGTTTTAAAATACCGATGCTAGAGCCCAGAGGGATTCTGGTTTCATTGATGTGCTATACCTTCTCTACTTCCTTTGCCCCTTAAAAAGGTAGATGTTTCCAAAGGATTGATCTTGATAATCTTCCTCTTCTATACTTTTCCCCTTGGCACCTCTTCAGGTGTCCCATTGGCGCCTCAAAAACTAATGTCACAAGTTGAATTCTCAGACTTGCTTCTCGTATTTCTGCTTGTGACATTTCATCTCTGTTATTTTAGACACCAAGACTTGAAATCTCGACTCCCTTTTTCTCATTGCCTCCGCCCCTCAATCGAACTGTAGCTTTTTAGTCGTGGGTCTGATAAACTTTTCTTGGCTATTTCTCTTTCGAGGGTGGGCGTAGTCTTAAATTTAAATTGAACACCTGATTTATAAAGAGGTGAATTGTTTCCCACTTAACCATTATGGGCTGGACTTTTTTCTCATTCATTTCTTTATTCGGTAAACACTCATTAAGTACCTACTATGTGAAAAGAATTGAACACACCACTCAGCATTTCTAAGGATGAGTAGCAGCCTGTCCCCTGGTCCTGGGACTTGGGGACAAGAGAGGCTAGGTGAGTCCTTAGACCCATGGGCATCATTTCTGCTGAAGGTGCAGAAAGGACTCTTATTCAGAGTTCTTTATTCCGTCCCCTGGCATCAGTGACCCCTCCCACCACCCATCCACACTTGGCTTGGTCCTAGGTTCTGGAGAAGGAGAAGAAACGTAAAAAGCAAAATGAGGATGAATCAGAGGCAGAAGATGAAGAGGAGAGAAGCCAGGAGGACCAAGAACAGAAGAGGAAGAGGTAAAGTTGGGCAAAGAGAAATGGAGAAAAAGACTTCAGTTGAGGCTGGGGGAGGGGGAAGGGTGAATCAAGTCAGTAGACATCAGGTTCTTCAGGGGAAGGGTTCCTGGACCTGCACACCTTGAGGGTGAAGGTAACTGGGACAAAGGAGAGAATGAGCGAGCCCTCGCTGTCTTTAGTGTGATGCTTTTTCCTCTTTCCTGCTAAAGAAATGCTGAATAGCAGTAACTCACTCGAAGGTTTTTGAATGTGTGTTTCAGAATTTTCCCCTCAAGATTATTTATTCTTCTTGGGCCTGTGGTTGAATTTGTGAGGGTGGGTGATAGGGAAAAACCATTAGGAAGCAGAAAAAGCAACAGTTTATACAGGCCTGGGCTTTTTAAATCCTCACTTGATCATATGTGTATTTTTTTCTACCCATTGATTCTAGAGAGAGAGAGAGAAGTTGAGGGAGAGAGTGAGAGGAAAAGAGAGAGGAAGAGAAACATCGATGTGAGAGAGAAACCGACCAGTTGCCTCCTGTACTCATCCTGACTAGGATTGAACCTACAACCTGGGCCTGTGCCCTGACTGGGAATTGGTCCTGTGACCATGAAGTGCATGGGGATGATGCTAACCACTGAAAACACCAGCCAGGGTGTTTGACTTTGATTGTCAAAGGTTCTGGTTCCTTTTCTCTATGATCAGAGATACAGGCAGGGCTCCCTAAAGCTTTTCTTAACTGCTATGGGTCTTTTAGGAGGAAGACTCGTCATCGCTCAGATGCTGGGGATGGGGACTCATATGACCCCTATGACTTCAGTGACACAGAGAAGGAAATGCCTCAAGGTAAGAGAGCATCCCCTATTGATAATATTTTTAGTTACTCTGTGCACTGCATTTTGTGGGGACTCCCATATGGTTCTGCTTGGGACCCTGTGTCCAAGAGGTTTGTCCCAAGAGAGCCTCAGACACTCAGTGAACCTGGAAAATAAGCTCTGGCAGTTGTTTGCTTCTCTCTTTGATGAACTGTGCTCTTTGCCAACCTGGCGTAAACATCCCAGATCACGTGTATTGAGGTCTCCTGCCTGACACATGCTTATATTGTTCATTCGTTGGAGAGTTCCCTTTACCCTAATTGTCCTGCCTGGCCCCGGAATAACTCTAGGAAATAGTGTTCAGCAGGCTCAGTGAGGTGGGGAGCAGAGATCACTTCTCTGGTGTGTATGCAAATGGCTTCCTTGTTGTCCTCTCACCCTCTGCCACCATTTATCTTCTAAAGTGCAAACTCCGAAGTCAGTGGACTCACAGGAGACCAAGGAATCCCCGGAGGTGGAGTTGAGTGAATCCAGGTGAGTAGGGAAGGGATTTTATGTGTGCTGCTGAGGCAAGGATTTCTTCTAGGGGAGAGGATATGAAACAAGCTGCTTGTCAACAGAGCTTAAAACCAGAGGCCCAGGGATTTCTAAAAACATTTATATTTTGATTATACTTTCAAACTTTAAAAAGTTGCAAAAATAGTTTGTAAAGAACTCTTGTATACCCTTTGTTCAGAATTCCTAGGTGTTTGCACTTTACCATTTGCTTTCTAAACAGTTCTCTCTGTGGGAATTTTAAACCTGAAGACCCAGTGAAGTCAGGAGGAAGAGTCTTAGAGCAAGGACAGAGTTTGTGTCTTTGACACTTGGCTCTTCTCAGTAGGAGATATATGTAGATGTAGATATAGGTATAGGTATGTTTACATATAAAAATATAAATATATATTCATATTTGTAATTTATAGATACAGCTCCCTGAAACTCTAGTGGTAAATCTCTTCAACTCAAATTGACAATTCATTTGTTTTGAGTTGAAGAGTTTTACCACCAGAGTTTTAGAAATAGTCTTATGGAGAAATTTTTTTACTGGGCACCTAAAAAACTCCATGGTTAAGTTTTGCTTTTTTCTTTTAGTATCTTAAACACACACAACACAATATGTTTACTGAAGAGTTGGAAAACATTGAAAAGTATTTAGGAAAAAACATTAAAATCAATTGTAATTCTGCTCATGAGAGAAAACAATTGAACTATATCTGAAAGCACTTTTGAATCAGCTCATACAGATCTCTTTTTAATGACTGCAGGGTTTCCATAGTATGGATGTGTAAAATGTTGACATTTAGGTTCCTACTGTTTACAGTAAAACAGTAAATCTGCTGTTTACAGTAAAACATCCTCATTTATCTGTGCACTTGTGCAAGCGTAGCTAGCTGTAATGTTAATTTCTAGAAATGGACTTCCTGGGTCAAAGGATATGTATGTACTTTAAAATTTTAGTGCTTGTTGCTAAATTGCCACCCAAAGATCCCATCCCAGTTTACATTTCTACCAACAGTATATGGGAACGCCAATTTCCCACACCCTCAAAGGCCTCTTATTTTAAAACTAGAGGCCTGGTGCACGAAATTCGTACACTGGGGGAGGTGGGGCGGGTGGGGGTCCCCACAGCCCAGCCTGCGTTCTCTCGCAGTCCAGGACCCCTTGCTCCTTACTGCCCGCCTGCACCCTGCTCCTTACCGCTCAGCTCACTGCTCCTTAGCACTACCACGGAGGAGGGAGAGGCTCCTGCCACCGCCACTTCACTCACCAGCCAAGAGCCCGGCTTCTGACTGAGGGGAGCGCACTGACCACCAGGGGGCAGCTCCTGTGTTGAGCGTCTGCCCCCTGGTGGTCAGTGCACGTCATAGCAACTGGTCTTTCCGCCGTTCAGTGGATTTGCATATTAGGCTTTTATTATATAGGATGCTATTGTTTCTCAGTGCTCAAATCGAAGGTTTCAGGAAGTTCTATAATACAACAGTTTAGTTTTAAAGGGAGAAACGTGTGTGGGGCAGTCATCAAAGGTGCATGTACATGCGTGCATGTTTTTGTGTGTGGGGGGGGACTGCTATACTGTACTAACCCTTAGGCTTTCCCAACATAGATCTTGCATGAAAGCATTTGGGTTTGTTTACTCCTCCTTCACCCATTTTTTTCTGTTTGGGGCAGGTTGAAGGCATTCAAGGTGGCCCTCTTGGAGGTGTTCCGGGAAGCTCACGCCCAGTCAGTGGGCATGAATCGCCTCACAGAATCCATCAACCAGGACAAAGACGAGCCCTTCTCTCCAGAGGAGATCCAGGCAGCGCTGACCAAAATGCAGGACGACAACCAGGTCATGGTGTCTGAAGGCATCGTTTTCCTCATCTGAGGAGGCCTGTGTCTGAACTTCTTTGGTCTGCCAAGAAAGCTCTCGTCCCACCCCACCCTCACCCCTATCTTGGTCTTTGCCTTTATTCCCTGAATAACAGTGTTTATTAAAACCGAAGTTGAGGGTCACGTGCTGAAGCTGAAACCGGACTTGGTGGAAGCTTTGGAATGGAAGCTGCTGTGTGGTAAAGCAAGAGTCAAGTGGGAAAGGACCAAGATGATGGGCTCTCGTTGTCAAAGACAGGATCATATTCCCCACTTCATCCCAAAGCAAAGCCACCTGTTGTTTGCTGTAAATAGCATATGACTTCTGAGTACTTTGGGGCACAGCTGGTTTTTGTTTATCCTCTCTGTTGGTTGGCTTTTATTTCCTCTGAGCACTTTGGTCTAGAGTGGGCTTTGTTTTACACTGGTGGGGAGATGCTCTGAAGCAAGGCATGAAGGCCAAGGAAGCTTTGTTTGAAGGAGCACCAGTTTAAATAACCTCTGACCTAAATATCCAAGACTTTGAATAAACTTAGCCATTTTTGTACTGTGTACATGGCTTTAACACTGTGTGCTGTTACACATTTAATTTTGTTTTCCTTAAACGCTCTGCCCTACAAGATTTGCTGCTCCCACATTTGCACCAAGCCACCACAAGGTGGCAGCAGGCTGCCGTGCACTCTTTGGGGATTAAGTCTTTAGGTAGTTTTCTTCTTCAGCGACACCAGCCTTTATCAGTTAAGATTATGCAACCCAAATCCTGCTGTTTTGAAATAGATAAATGGCCACAGGAGGCCAGTGAGTGAAAGTCCAGGAGCAGAATTGACCCTCTACCAGGCTTTTTCGAGCCTGAATCAAATCCCCTTCATGAAGAGACAATACCTAATTTATCAGATACCTCTAAATCATGTCAGGTTTTTTTTTTGTTTTTTTTTAGTATCTTTTATTGATTTTTTACAGAGAGGAAGG